GGGAGGCTGGAGCACCATGAATGTGGGGGGAAAAGGTACTGAGAGTGCTGAATTCCAGTCTATTGTGTTTTTAGACTTTCTCCTGAGGGCATAGAAACCTTCGGAAGTCTCTGTTGATAGCAGGAAGATGATCTGATTATGTCTTCTGGACATAAGCCTGCTTAGAAAGAAACCCTCTGGCTGCAGATAGACAATGAATTGGAGGGTGAGGCAGGGGTGGCAAGGATATCTGTGAGGGAACCAGTGGTCCAGTAGGGAGATGTTAGGCTCAGTCTAAGGCTATTGAAGGGTGAGGTGGAAAGGAGATCGATTCAATGCACATTAAGAAGGAAGAATCTGTGTGGGGGTGGAAAAGAAATCAGGGATGACTCTCCAGTTTCCAGGTCAGGTGACATCGTTTATTGAAAGCAGGGGATGTGGATAAAAGAAGACGAGGAGAGGAAGCACTCAGTTTATGATGTCCAAGGGGTCCCTCCATCAGCTTGGAGGTGGAAGATGAAGCCCGGGGAATGATGCTGTCTGGTTGGGACAGGCCTGGGACACATCCCTGTAGGCCACTAATATTTAAAGGAGAAGCCCACCAAAGAGACTGAACAAGAGTAACCAGGTCTTTTTCATTGTTCTGGTGAGGGTCACTGATCTGGAAGCTCGGTGGCATTTCACTCCTCAGAGCAGCCTAGTCATGTGCGTGGGACATTAAAGTGTGTGTGTGCACGTGCATGCATGTGCATGTTATGTGCGTGCTGGGTCATCTGTAATAACTATGGAGTAAATGATTCCTATTTTGTTTTGTTTATTTTCTTTGGGGGAACTCGCAGGGATGACTGGAGTGGCCTTCGTCTCCTTTGAGGGCATGGCATCTGTTTTAGATGAACGCTTCTTCCAAGACCCCCAGGCTCCCTTGGAAAACTTCCAGAGGAAGCTGAGGATGAATTCTCGTGTTGTTGGGGGCATTATGACGGGGGATAAGAAAGATAACTTCTCACATGAAGTCATCTACATTTTGCAGCACATCCAGGTTAGTGAACAGGTCTCCACTGAGACCTCCATCTACCTACTGAGAACTCCCCCTCCCCCAGTGGCCGTAATGCTCATTTTTGATGGAAAGCCATTAAAGCAGCAAGCTTCCATAATTTCTAGAAACTCAAGCCAATTCCCAAAAGCCACCTCTAGAAAAAGGTGCCTTTAGGGTTAGGGTTACGGTTAGAAGAACAAGCTCTCCTATTTCCACAGACATCCCTCAGTATCCACGGGGGATTGGTTCCAGGATTCCCCATGGATAGCAAAATCTGCAGATGCTTAAGTAACTTACAGTCAGCCATCTGCAGGTTCCGCATCTGCAGATTCCACATTCGCAAGTAGGGAGGGCCGACTACACGTGGTGTTTTTCTATCCAGCCACAGGAAAGATTTAGATTAAGTAAATTAATTTTAATTAAGTAAATTAATTTCTGCATTAGTTAATTAATGGAGAAACATTTACAGGTAGTTTATTTATATTAACTATGACTGAGTCAGTGATAGAGACAGGTCTGGCATCCAAGACTTTAAAAAAAAAATTACTACATATTGAAATATTAGCATTTTCCTCCACTTCCTTTGGAACATATCCCACATCTTCTTGCCCAAAATGGCTCTTGAGGTTGATCTATTGACTTCATTTGAGGGACATTCTCAGATGACCAGGCCTTTTAATTTTTCAGCCAAAGTGGAACTTGGAGAGGCCTCTCTGTGTTTCCTGAAACAACATCTGCTATTTGTAGTAATGAGGCTTCATACAGTTTTTCAATTCTCAGTAATAATCTCCAATATTCCCCAAATAGTTATAGACATATTTCTTAAATTTCTCATCTTCCCACCTCTGAATTTCTTCCATGTATGTTTTACTTTTCTGATAAGTCTCAGGCGAACTTATAATTAGCTTGATGGAATGTTCCAGAAAGTTTCCCATTGTCCCACCAACCTACATGTTTGATTGTGGGCCAGCACCAGGCACAGGCACAGCCTCACCTCTTATCTCTTTCATGGCTCTCCAACCATTCTGGACTTATTTCAGTTCTGGAAACACATCTTTCTGCCTTTCTGCCCCAGGACATTTGTATGTGCTATTCGTTTTGCTTAGAAAGTTCTACCCTCACTCTGTATTCCCACCTCAGTGTTTCATCTGGATAATTCCATTGTATCTTTCATGTCCCAGATGCCATTTCTTCAGAAAAGGCTTCCCTGCTTGTCCACAACCCCAGGTTAATTGAATTTCTATTATGCATCCTTAAGGCATATGTTTATTTCTTAACTGTTATTAAAAATATTTCTCTGTTTTCCTATGTTTCTCCTCCCACTGCACTATGATCTCCTTGGAGGTGGAACCACGTCTGTTCTACTTACTGATGTCTGCTATAGACAGCACAGGTCAAGGCATGCAATAGGTGCTCAATAAAAACATAATTTCTCTGTTTTCCTATGTTTCTCCTCCCACTGCACTATGATCTCCTTGGAGGTGGAACCATGTCTGTTCTACTTACTGATGTCTGCTATAGACAGCACAGGTCAAGGCATGCAATAGGTGCTCAATAAAAACATGTTGAATGAATGAGTGAATCAATGACGACTACACGAAAGGTCTTATCGTGGACTTTATGAAAGGAGGAGTTTTCTTCTAGCAACCAGAATGTGGGCTGGTCCTTCAGCATTTTCCTCCAAATCCCTGTAGAGCATATCTCGCATGCTCTTGCCCCCAGTGACCCTTGAGGGAGGTCACATTAAATCCATTTGAGGGGGTTTCTCAGGTGACCAAGGTCTTTGTTTTTCAGCCAAAGCAGAAGTTTGAGAAGGCCATCTGTGTTTCCTGGAGCAGTGGGAGATGGACACACTCTGGCTGTGTGATGCGGAAAAGTTCCAGGCATCAGACCGAATGCAGCTGTAAACATTTGGCGAATCTGGCCGTTATCATGGCTTCTGAGGAGCTCACGGTCAGTACTGATGATCTGTGCTCTGGCTCCCTGAGTATCTGGCCCCAAATTCAATGGGAAAATATTGACTAAACATCTGTTTGTGTGTCCCCCATAATGTTGAGTGTCACAGGACAGGGTCATGGGGACAGAAAGGTGTGTTCCATGCCTCTGCAGCTGAAGAATTCACCAACTCATTGAGAAGTCATGACACTCAAATAGAAAATGAGAAATAATGACCCTAAACAGGGTGCAGGAACCATAATGATCACAGATCATATCTAATGAGCACCTGCTGTGTGCTGGACCCTTTATTTTAAGTTAAGAGTTTTTAGAAGCATTTCACAGGATGGGAGACTGAAGCTCTGGAGCCTGACTAGTCAT